TTCTATATACTTTTATGTATAAAAGTAAAAAAAAAAAAAAAGATAAATTTTTTTTGTGGAAGGGGGATGGAAGTTGAATATATATGGTAGCTGTTATTGATGTAATCTCATAAATAAAGTAGTTTCATTAGGTATAACTGAAAATACTTTCATATGAAGGTAAATTTGAAAATATTTGTAAATCTTATAGGAGGACTAAAAATTTCCCAATGTAAAAAACACGTTTGAGCATCTTCAGTTTTCTTCCTTCTCAATCTCTCTATTCTCTCATTAAGTATTTGGGCTTAGTTGTTAATTGGCCCAAATATATATGGGACCTGCAATGTTTGTTAAGTGAACTAGTACGTACCCCGTGCAATACACGGGACATAGATATTAAATGAATTATTTTCAGATGACTCTGTTCGTTTAAGTCTAAAAATCAATAGAATTATCATATATTTTTACTTGTATATTAGGGCTAGTTTGTAAAATAATTAATATATTATCTATACATATTTAATTCTTTTTTTTATCGATTATACATATTTATTTCTTAATTTGAAATAAAAAAAATGTTTGACCAGTTGAGTATTAAATCGGCATTAATTAATTTATTAAGTAATTAAAGACACAAAGCAAGACAATTTAATTATCCAACAATTTAGGGTAATATATAGTTATTTCATTTATTAAACATGATTTTTAAAAATAAAACAACATCAGTCCCACATAATAGGCAACATTCATGGTTTTGTTTAAAACCAAAATAACAAAATCCTTAATTAATGGGTAGCATTTAATGCTGCCTTTTTTATTAAAAAAATTACTAAGAATGGAATGTAATTAATGCAAAATGATTTTGACCAAAATTTGACCTGCTATTTTTGAAAAATGATCAATCTTTTTATATAGATATATAGATTTGAAGAAATGAAAAAACACGTTTGAGCATCTTTAGTTGTCTTCCTTCTCAATCTCTCTATTCTCTCTCTTTTCTATATATATAGCTATTAGCTTATAGCAGATAACAAATAGCATATTGTATTAGCGCAGGGTCGTCTCCAGAAATTCGGAGGCCCCAGACAAACTTTTTCTTTTTCGAATTTTCTTGATTTTAACTTACGTGGTAATTAGAACTATTTGCAGATAGAATCATAAAATTAAACGAGACTTTTAAATAAATAAATAATTGAAAAAAAAAATTATTTTCTTGTTTTTCTTGAACTTGTAATTGATACATTACCTTCGGGTTACAAAGATCTTTAATAAATTACATTCAACCAATCATGAGAACAACAAATAGAAGAAAATAAAAATCATATCACTACAAAAAATATTTATTCTCACACAACTTGTTCTGAAAAAAAAAATGAAATATTTAGGGCCTCAATTTACCACACAAATTACATATTTTGTCATTAGCTCCTTCATTTGAAATATTGTGTAAATAGACAAATCCAACACAAATACATAATATTAAAAAAATAATAAGATCTCATTTGTGTAGATAGACAAAACCAAATACAAAAACATAATTAAAAAAAAAAAAAAATGAGGCCTCAAATAAAATGGAGGCCCTAGGCCCATGCCTAGGTTGCCTCCCCTCTTGAGCCGGGCCTGTTTTAGCGGCTAGTTTAATTGTGTTAGCTATTTAATAATAAATAAATATTTGATAAATAGCGGTTTGTATAGCTGATTTGACTAGTGAATCAAGTTAGCGCGCGATTTAATAGTTGACTTGATTACTGAATTGTGTTAGCAGTTTAATTATAAATAAATATTTTATAAATAGTGGTTTGCATAGCTCGTTTTAAAAATTTTATATTGACATGTTATATAAATCTCTCTTCTCAAAACCGCTCTTATGTTTAACATTTTTATAATTAACGTTTTGACTTAAAAAAAGCTAATCAAATAAGTTGGTTAACAAATTTGATGGTTCAAACCTCTAAAGTAATTTCAATCCATCAATTTACATCAATATGTTAACATCTAAACACATTCATAATTTAAGAACATGTTGTGTCGAAATAGTAAGTCAACTTGCACATTTCAGAAAATCCTATAATTTGAAATATTATGTTCCGTACGTAAAATAGCACGGATAAAAACCAATCCAATTAATAACTTGGGCTAGTAAATTGTGATAAGTTAGTATGTTACATCTTCTAATCTAGCAATACTTAAGTTAGTATGTTACATCTTCTAATCTAGCATACTACTCTCTCAATGCCCGTCACTCCTAATTTGTAAGGGCATTACTATTTACCGCTTCCTTTTACTACTCACCGTTCTCTTTAATTATGTTTTTGCCCTTCACACTATTTCTCTACTTTCTCTCTCTAATATTTATCTCTCGACTTTTTACGGCTCTTTTGACCGTCAAAAGAATTTCAAAAAAATCGGAAAAAAATACCATGACATCGGCAAGACATTGAAGATTGACTATGTATTTTTTTTTATTTTTTTACTTTGTAAATAATTTTTTTTTTTTTTTTTTTT